AAACTTAGCGGCTTAAAACAACAAAAACTTATTCTTTCACATTTCTGTACATTTAAAAGTCCAACACAAGTTTCCCTGGGCTAAAATTAAGGTGTTGGCAGGGCTATGTTTCCTTCTGGAGGATCCAGGTAAAACTATTTCCTTGCTTTTTCCAGCTTCTTAAAGTTGCCTATATTCCTTGGCTTGTGGCCACCTCTCTCCATCTTCAAAGCCAGCAATGCTGCATCTCTCTGAAGGTCTCCAAAGTCTAAACCCATTTTTCCATTATCAACATCTCTCTGACTGTCCCCTTTTCTCTCTCTCTCTCCTACCTTTAAGGACGCTGTGGTTACACTGGGCCCACCCAGATAATCCAGGAAGCTCTCCCCATCTCGAAGTCCTTCATTTCATCACATCTACAAAGTCCCTTTTGCCATGTAACGTTAACATATTCACAGGTTCCTGAGGTTAGGATGTATATGTCTTTGGAAGGAGGGCATTATTCTGCCTATCACCCTTCTTATTATCATTATGTTTCTTCAGGACCGGAGGAAGATAAAGTTGTTTTGTGAATGATTACTATAATTGTTATAACTTTCACTATGATAGAATCACGGTTGAGAGATGTGGTCCATATTTGCAGAAATGGCCACGATAATTTTCTGTCCTATACACACTTTGGTGTCATCCTCTCTCACGCTGACTATGGGCTTGACCAGGATGCAAACAGGTGCTTGAAGAATGCTTGCACGTTGGGATTTGCCATCTCTTGCTATTCTTTACACCCCTCTGACTACCATGAAGACACCCGAGTGAGTCTACCAAGAGGTGAGACACATGTAACCCAGGCACCTTTGTCATTGAGCCAGTAGTCAGTATTGGCCAGTAGCACCAATCAATCAGCAGCACGGCCATCAACATTTAAGAGTGATCACCTTAGATCATCCAGTCACCAGCTGACCTTCCTGAAACCACAGGTGCATGAGGAAGGCCAGCAGTGTGGACCCAAGCTGGACCAGACCAGAAGGACTGCCCAGATAAGAAACAGAATCCTGAGCTAATTAGGATGTTTTGAGGGTGGTCTGTTATGCAACAAAAGCTAATTAATGCAGGAAGTGACAGGCAAAATGGAAGCCAAAGCCAAGAATAAGGTTGAATAGAAAGAAAATTCAGTTACAAGGGAAAAGTGAAAAAGAATATCCCTTAAAGACAAACCATAGATATGAAACTTTTGGGAGAGATTCTATGCACAGGAACAGCTAAGTACATTGAGACTAACCCCTCTTTCCTCTCCACCTTCATGCCCTCAACTCCGTGACATTCACTGTCAAAAGCATGCTCCAGTAATCATTTTCATCTGATGGTATGATGTTATCTTGAAAGAGCTTAAACATCCCCTAATCTCATGCTCCTATTTTATTTAATAGAAAGCTCAAGCCCAAAGAGATGAACTGACTTGCCCATTTCACTTACATTTAGCTTATATTTCCTTTGTGTTCAATGAAACAAATATATTTCCTAAACACTTTTGAAAACGCTACGGTACTTTACTTGCAGGAGAATGTTGTGTTCAGTTTCCTTCTTTTTCCTGTATCTCCCGATATAAGTCTCAGGATGGGTGGACCTATAGCCAGAAGCTTGGTGGCAAGGAGAGAGTATGACTCTTCCATGGTCAGCATACCCAGAGAACTGTCTTTGAAAGGACACCTTTGCCTCATTCCTGGAAAAAATGAGCCAGAGATGGAGGATGTCATCCACGTGGCCTTACCAAAGAAACAGGCAGTTTTGCAGTTGGTCTTAAAGATTGCTCTCTGGTGCCGTTAAAGAAAAGGTAATGTAAAGCAAAGCTGTGTGCATTTAGAAAGGTTGGAGGTGAGCCAGCTCTTTGAAATGATGTTACCAATCTTCTGGGAGCAACTCACCTTCTTGGTGGACTGTTTTTAAAGGGGGATGACATGTATGTTTAGAAACAATGAACCCTTTCACCAACAGCTCCCTAAGACCTGGTAGACTGATATGGTTCACAAATTCAGACGTGATGGAACTAGCCCGATGAGGTACCAAGCATGCTGCTGCCTCCTTGATATGATTGAAAGGCTATTGCTTTTCGACTGAGCTGACTCTAAATAACAGACACTTGTTCTTAGAATACCAATCAGGTGCTTTCTGTGGGAAATGCATATTGCTCTCAGTTCAATTCTGCCTTTTCAATGCACCAATCCACTTCTAATCATTATGAAATAGCACTCTTATTCCCTAAAGCTAAGATAAAATGTAATTGGAAATAAATCTTTAAAAGCATAAAACATAAAGAAATTGTTCTTGTAAGATGTATCATAAGGTATAATTTATTAGGACCTTACCAAATGATCATATTTCGGCCAAAATTTCATCCTTGCACTAGCTGTAAAAGAAAGGTTTGCTATAAAAATTCATAAACAGATACTAGGGGGCCTGAGTAACCTACTTAAGAGGACAGACTGTTTTGAAATACTTGAAGTAACAAGTATTTGGGGCTGCACTTGTCCTTGGTTCTTACCTTCCCTAGCAGCATCCCAGGAGTTTTTCACTGGTCCTGGAGCTTGTCCTCCAGCAGGGCCCTTGTTCCAGGGGCAGCACCTCAAGCAGTGTTCTCACAAGGCTCCATCAGCTTTAGTGGAAACTGTTCTGGCAATTGCTGGTCCATCAACATAAAAGGTACCAAATCTAAGATCAGATGTGATTACAATGGATTTACATGCCTTTGCTTTATTACATATCACCTGAAGACCCTGATGTCTTAGATTTTTTCCTATACTACAGTGTAATTAGTGGGAAAAATTAATACCTTCATCAGTTGAAGGTTTTTGTGAGGTGATTTCAGGTGACTACAAGATGGACTTGGAATCTGATGTCTGTCTATGGGTTTGCATGTCTCCTTTTCTCTCTGTTCCCTAATCTCTCTCACTCCCTTGGGACTCCTGTTCCTGTTTGTACAATTATAATTGGAATTCCCTGGCTTCCAAAATGGTGTAGTTTCAGCTTTCCAATCCAGCAGAAACCTCACCATTGCTTAAACAGTTTTTTACTCTTTGCAGCTTGAACTGTTTCACAAAACCGTATGGTGCCACCAAGCCTCTGGAAGAAATGCAAAGTTTTCATGACGTAAAAGGAATAACTTACTAAAGAGAATCCTAGTGGATCTATTGTGATGAGCTGTAGATTTCTCTAGAGGTCGGTTACCTGTTTGATGACAACAGGAAACATTTTCTAAACAAGGAGGTTTGAAACCTCCAGTGGAGTGTGCTATTAAGGTCACAGGATTTTTATTTCTACCTAGCTCAATCAGCAGTGGCTGTGACTGTTTATTTGTTTTGTTTTCTGTTTGTTTTTTTTTCAGTGAAATGAAACCTGCCTCTAAAAACATCCTCCTAGGCCAGGCCTCCTGTTTTAGGTATCTGTGAGGAGGCCCCAAGGTTTAAAACAACTCTCAAACTTATTTAACAACTGGAAACTGCAACACTTTTTTTTCCTGCATGTGATGAAGAAATACTTGCTTACTGAGCTAAAAGTAACAAATTATAAAAGACAGCACAAGTCAACTAGAATCTAAGAATCAACTCTGATATATACTCTCGGTAGCAGCAGCAAAGTTGAAGAAAAATTTGGACTATAAAAGATTATCATTGAAAAATTTCTATTCATTACTTTTAAAAATTTCTCTATGAGTCTAGGAAAAGATTGCTATTTTTCAGTTTTACTGGTGGAATACCTAGGCTGAGTTTTTGAAACGTCAGTGTTCCAGTCGAGCATACTTTGACAGTTACTGGTATAAAACTGTACTAGCTGTAGAGTGCTCTAGGAAGATTTATAATAAAATTAATGATAATGTGTTGATTATGTCCTTGAGTGTAGTATTCAAACAGTTTACTCTGACGGTTAGCTGAGAGTTGAGGCATAGAGAAGTCTGATGCTAAGTTCCTTATGTTTGATTTCCTTCACTGCTTAAAGGAGAGTGATTGACATTTAGACCCAAGACTCTCACTCCAGACTCACTGTGCAGTCAGTGAGAAGCTGGCCTCTCAGCATGTGCTGGTGTCATGCCTGTTCCATGCTGAGAAAACAGCACCAATGCTAATTGAAACGGTAGAGATGATTACCAAGGCTGAAGCTTGAGAAGCAACATATACCGACAATGAAGGGCAAAGGGCTATTTATTTAGAAAAGTTCACCATCAATCACTGGACAGGATGAACAACTCATGGAGAAAATCAACACTTAGTACAATCAAAAGGGCATCCACTGTTATTTGCTAGGCACTCTCAATGTGAACAAAACTCCCTTAAACATCTTCCACTGGATAAGCAACCGTGATTGTGAAAAATCCATCTTATTATTATTTTTTCTGTTGATACCTCTTTCCAAGGTTTTCCAAATAATATTTAAGCATCTGTAAATGCAGAACAGTACAGGCTATCTGATGTTAGCAAGCACCCAATTTAGCATTAATTTCTCTGGATGGAGATCTGAGCCATATGTTTATGTTAGTAATAGCAACACTACGTAATTTGATCATTCCTGAGCAGGCTGATGTAGTTTCATCTCAAAGAGGGAGTTCTGAGAGTTTGCGGAAGCATCAGCAGCTTTCAGTACAGAGGCTACACAAGTTTTCTAATCTTATTTTATTTAATTTCTCTATTGGTCTGACTTTGATTAGAGGTTCACATGAAGCTGTGATTCTTCTATGCCTTGATTATATTAAAGTATTTCTTGTCTGTCTCCTAGCACCAGGAGCAACTGCAAGTAAGTTAATTGTTACAAGGTTGTAGCAGAGGAGCACAAGTGCTCTTTGAGGTGGCTGTTATACTAGATTTCCAGATGGTTGAGATATCTTTAAAAATATATCCAACCTTGCTTCATATCACAGGGGTACAGAAATCCAACGGAGAAGTGCATCTTTCCAAGTGCTCTCACGTGCACATAAACAGCTTTGACTTTGGGAGCCAGCAAGGGGCACATAAAACAAAATGAGTAAAAAAAAATTGCACATAGAGTAATTTTAATCCATTCCATTTTTTAAATACCACAATAAATTTAATTTTCACAATAAATTAAATAGCCATATTCAGTTTACAAAATAGAATTACTTAGTGTGAAACCAGTATTTACAACTATATACACTATGTACATGGCATTTCTCTTTGTTGACATAGAACACGGAAGTAAAAGGACTTGACTTTCCGATGTGTGATTGACATGCTACAAGTGACACCATGGTCCATATGAGAAAACGATAGTGCAAAATCACCACAGGAACTTTGGAACGATGTCAATTTTATGAGATAAGACATTTTTTTAAATAATAAGAAAATAGTATTTTCCGTTTTCATGGCATCAATTCAGCATCTGAATTAAAGAGTCAGCTTTCCCTTAGAAAAGAATGCATAACCGAATCCTCTACTTCCTGAAACTTCACAGCCATTGGTACATTTTCACATGTTAATCTTTTGGCTTAAATCTATGAAAACGGCAGGCGACAAATTCTGACTCAAAGGAAGACTAACTCTTTGAGAATAGCTGAAGTCACTTTCCCCCAGTACCACCACCTCTTCTTTTTGTAAATAGCATAAAGGATGCAACTATGTAGACAGCAAATTGGTTTGTTTTTTGTTTTTGTTTTTGTAAATTTTCAGTAGAAAAAGAGCTGATCTTATATTTGGTCACATACTGCGTATGCACAAGTATACATGGAAAAATGACTTGGACAGTTGTGTCTATAGGAAAAGTGCATATTTTAATCCAGACGAGACATTGTGTGTCCCCAGGCACAACACATAGTGTTGTATGACATTATTTTAGGGCCAGTTCAATGTCCTCCCAGTGATCTGGTAAAATTTTTGATTGAAAGGGTGAAAGAATTTGCGCAATTTGGTAATGACAGAGGGGTCCACCTCTGGATGAATGCGCCCCTTGCTGCCCGCCAGGCACTTATTAAAGATAATGTTAAATCGCAAGCAGTAAAACCCTCTGGTAGCATTGAAATACAAATTGTATTGACTTATCCTCGGGGGAAGATTTAGGAACTTCTCCACGAGCTGAAGTTCTGGCAGGGGTTCCGTGATGAGGCGATCTCCATCGACGATGTGAAATTGCTCAATTGGAAAGTACTTTAACCACCGTTCCAGATGTTTGGTGTAGATGCTGGTTCTTACTGCCTTGTATTTTGTGTTCACTTCGCAGGTATTAGGGTCTATAGCCAGCTTCTCAAACTTGTAATAGGTTTTATTCTTCCTCTCCTTCCCCTCTAGCACCTGAGTGTAATCAGAAATAGCTCTTGTGGTTGGCTCCCTGACAATGATCAACAACTTGATAGATGAGTTCATTTTGTAAATCCTTTCTGGAACTTCCTCCGTGATAAAATATGCTGGGCTCTTTTCAATTGTGATTTGCTGAGGGTAGGAAAAAGGCATCTTTTTCCTATACCACTCAATACCCTTGGCATAATTCTCATCATTGTCAAAAAAGTGGATTTCTTGAGAGGCTTTGACCACTGCTGGATGGAGGTTCAGCATCTCAAGCAGGGCCCTGGTGCCTCCTTTCCTCACCCCGATGATAATGGCCTTGGGGAGCTGCTGGACCAGGTCGTGAAGGCGTACCTGCTCCTTGGAAGAGTTGCCCTTCCGAAACTCGTGCAGCAAGCCACGCTTAAACTGCAGGGCGCGCAGGGGGAATTCAGCCTGACCACGGGCTCCGAACCGGCCTTCGATGGGGCAAATGGGTTGTAGCCTGTAAGCAACAGAGAGATGCTCTAAGGAGCTCACTGCAACTGATTTCTCATTTCTCTGGTTCCCCAGTGAGAGTAAGACTTTAAATGCATAAATAAAACCACTGTTCTCCGCCTACTGCAATCCACAATGAACATATGTTTGGGAAATTTTCTTTTAAGCAACTCTGTATTAAATGAAGCACACATAATTGATGGAATATTTTTATTAGTGTTTCTTAAAATTCTTATTCACCAAGCTCTTAATTGACTATAGCGTGTACTGACGTTCACAGTACAGGACAGACAAGTGACACCAACCACACTAATAGCCTTTTAGCAGCCCACCAGTTAACATCATTTAGAAAATACGAAAGACGGAAGATTAGAATCTTCAGTTGGGAGGCTAAAGGGCAGCTAGGAGGCCACGTCCTGTGGGTTTCATGTGGTATTATTTTCTTGCAGCTCAGCTGCACTCATATGACTCTGAAAAATCTTTGAGATATAATCTGAAAAGAGGTCTCAGTCTCTGCCCTCGGCTATTTGCGTCATCAACCTGCAAAATTCCAATCTTGGCACTTGCTGAACTTTCCATTATATGAGAATTTCTGCTTTTGGCCTTGGGGACAGCTAGAAGAGTACATATTTCTTCTGCTTCTCTTTCTCTTTCTATCTAAAAAGGTCAGGCTTATGTTTTTACTTTGCTGAATATAGGAGGAGCAAACGCAATGCCAACAGCAAGTGCTGTATATCACCTACCACACCTGGGACCAGAAATCAACAAGACTTTGGCAGTGTCAGAAACCTCAGGTCCTCATTGTCAAGCCCATTTAAATCCGGGACTCAAGCTCATGAAGGAAGCAAAGCAAAGGATGGAGCCAGAAAGGAGGATTTCCACTTCAACATTGCCCTAAGCAGTGAAAAATCTCCACTGCTTTTTTTCAGAGAGAAAGTTGTGGTGACAATCACAGTGATATTAGGCTGCAGTGACTATTCAATTTGGTGTGGCCAATTTATATGGTGAGTAAACTGAATTTCCTTTGGGGTATAGTCTGCAATTGAACTGAATTCATTATAACTTTCCTAAGTTTATCTGAGAAGGTATTTTTGCTTTCTTGTTAAAGGGTATAATATTAGTCAAAATGGCTGTTAAAGCAATTCCTCCAAATGAAGCTTCTAGTTGCCCTAATAATTTGGAGTCTATGTTCCCCTCTCTGTGGCAATGAGGCTGTCTCTTGCTTTTCCCAAGAGACCCCACTGTACCTTTCTCATCTTCTGTACTGTTTACAATTAAAGGGAGAAGGGAAAAACCTCAAGGGCATGACAAGGCATTTTGCAGAACTGAGGGGAAGGGGCTTGGCCTATGCAATGTTTAAACAGCTATCTATCATAATGCTTAAGGAAATATATGAACATATTTTACCTTTTTTGTGGGTTTTTTATGATTCTGAAAACAACTTATGCTCACTGTGGAAAACATAAAAATATGGCATACTGTAAAAAACAGGGTTAATCACAGTTAATATTTTAGAGAAACATGAATTTTGTTTTCATAAGTTTGTTAATAGGATTAATATGTTAGAGCTCTAAATGGAAGATATATAAGGAGCAACACGTACATAGTCAAAGTATGTTTTCAATTGTGACGTTGATTGGGATGTCACAAATTCATCTTTTAGCTCTTGCTGGAGCTAAAATGGTTAAGAATTAAACCCTAATCCCTTAAGGCATCCATTGAATGCAATGGATGGACTTCTCTCCCAGGCATCTTGAATGATGCTGTGCTTGGGAGAACTGAGGAAACAGTCAATCAAATCCTTTCCTGTAGGACTTGATTCTCTCACAGAACCCAGGCTGAGAGAGGCTGAAACAGTGTCTGCCCTGTCTGAGCTCGAAAGGAATTTCTCTACTTCTAGAAAAGGTCATTTTCCTTCTTTCCTTTATTTACCTTCTACCATGGGAGCTCATTCCCTGCAGAACAATTGCTTTTTGGACTCCCTAACTCAAGGTAGGAAAAAATATATTATTTCCACTCCCTAAAGAGTAGGCATGGACCCCAGACTAAAAAACATGAAATTTTAGGATTGGAAGGGACAGTAGAAGTAATTGAGCTCAGCCTCTCACCCAGAGAGCAGGGTCTTCAGTTTCTAAAGGACAGGTCTGTGTCAGCATGCGTCAATTTCAGACAATCTGCTCGAACTCTCAAGTGAGAGGTTTTGAGAAAGCCCCCCAAGCAATCCAACTCCTTATAAAAGCTACCCCATTAGAGACTAGAGACCAGGTTAAAAATGAAAAGGGTTATCAACTAAGTAACTAATATGTTAATGATTGTTAGATCAATTACTCAATAAAGCAAATGATCAGAAGCAAACTAAAGGTATTGGGAAGAACTTGATATAAAAGTTCCATTATGGACATAGGACAATGGTACCACCTCAAGGCTCTTCACTAATAACAAGTCCTTCTTTAGGGAACTACTCGGAGTCAGTGATAAGCTCTGGGTTATACCGTTTCCCATAGTGAGTAGGAAGTTTACTTAGGAATTTTGAATTGAAAAGCATCAAAGGGGTTCATTTTATCAGTCAAAATGAATACTGGCTGAAGGAAAGCAAAGACCACTGTTATATTATTTGTTAAATATTTCTGTGATAAGATCTATAGATTAGAAAAGAAAAACTGTAAGGAAGATATTTTTATTTTAATGTGTGGCTACACTTTTATAGAAAATGGGAATTGAATTCATGGGGAACATACATCAGTTTTTCAAGAGCAAGAATTAATTTTAAAGGGCAAAAAAGGAAGGCTTCAAATTTCAGAAATTAACTTCTCTACCCTTTCCAATCATACCGGATGTGGGACAGTCCAGTGGCGTTCAGTCTGAAGCCAGGTGACACTGCTGGACTTCTGCAGGTCTAGTACCTCTCAACTGTTGGCTTATTTAGAGCCAAACCCTAGCTCTGTAAATTTCCTCTCTGTGAATTTTCCATTGCTTTCTGGGCCATTACTCTGAGCGACAGACTCCTTGTCTGGTATGTTCAGCTCCTGGAAACCAGAGCTAATTAACATAGTTAAAACTCCCCCTGCAGCCATCTTTCCAGGGCAATGGATTCCAAACCTGATGAGCTCCTTTACAGTCTCATACATAATTTTAACTCTCTTGGTAGCACATTAATTGCCCACTTATAAATTTCAAAATGTAGATACATAAATACATCATCACTGTTTTGCTACGGCTAGAGGTCAACAACCAGATGCACACAGAGCTATAGTAAGTGACATTTTTACCCTACATGGCTTTATCCCTTCTCTGAAAGCAAACAACACACACAGAATACAAATGGATCTTGATGAACATCTTGGTTTGAGCAACTTGGATCTCTTTCTTTTAAAGGCTCAATAAATCAAAATCAATACTGTAGAAAAACATGCTTCTTGGGAATCTTGAAGGAGGAAAACAAATGGATAGATTTAAAATTATGTCCTAAGGAAGTTTAAATCAAGAGACATTTAAAGTCACACAGGCATAAGTATGTGTTTAATCACCTACCTATCCAAGCTCCCAACTCTGGCGACTAGATACAGGAGACTCCCAACGGCAAGGCTTCCCAGCACCAGGAGCTTCTGTCTCAGCCATGCCTGCTGTTTGAATAGCATGGCCCTCCATCAACCTTCAGGACTTCTGCAGCCTGAGAGATGGGGATAGAAGGGGACTCATCAGCAGTCATCTCTTACTGGCTCTGTTGATTGTCACAAAGCCAAGCAGGGGTGGGAATACAGGGGATAAAGTGATGTCACACAAAGAACAGATGCCATATCAGACTTGACAGCGTGCATGGACAACAGCTATTTAGCAAAACTTACCTACCTTTCCCTGCTCTGTGTTATAAGATCAAATACTAAAGCAGAGGGAAGACACTAACTAGACAGAACTTGCTGGGCAACTGTCAAAGTACACTAAAATGCATATATAGTTTTAAATGCATACATAAATGCATATATATATATGTAAATATATATATATATATGTTTTTGTTGTTAATCATTCAAAGAATACTGATAGAATGAGCAACGGAGCAACCTGAGGTTTAGCAGCAGGGCAACCAGTAAACTAAAGGTCCTGCTTCAGTATAATGGGATGAAGGTAGCAATCGAAATCCCCTTTCAGTAAGTTAGTATTTGGGGCATAACAATGACATGCTTTACTGATATGTTTTTTGTTTCGTTTCGTTCTAGTTGCGAGCGGAGGAAGGGGGTAAGATCAAAAGCTATGTCTTTACTTACTGAGGTCATCAGTGGTAGCTATCAGGATCTCAAATGTTTGGGGACAGTGGCTCTCAGTAACCAGATGTTTCCCTTCATCTCCTCTGCCCAGGCCTGGATTGGACTGACTGATTCTGAAAGCATGATCTGACTAGATGCCCTGCTTTGTGACCCCCTCCTGGCTCTCAATGAATTTAAACAGGGTTGGTGTTATGGGCCTCGCTCTAACATCAAGACAGAAGCTTTACCCAGGAGCTCTGTACTCTTATACCTGAAATAAGGCCAGCTGAGGAGTGTAAGGCTTTACTAGTGCTGTTATTAAATTTTGGGAAAAAAAATGCAAGCTTCCGATTCAGTCTCTCTTATTAAATATAAATCCAATCCCCCTTTCAAGATAAGATTGTTTGCTTCGCATTCAAAGCCAAAATGGTAACCCCAGAAGAGGGACAACAGCAATGGGTCGTGGTTAGAGATTGTTCTGATGCAATAGTCTCTTCCTATTTGCTAAGTGAAGATTTTCTCTGTACAAAAAAGGATTATACTAGGATTGATGGGTTGATTCACTCATTCATCAGGAAATACTGAGCACCGACAGCATTTCCAGCTATTCTACTAGGTTTATGGGGGATCCCAAAAAAGATCCTCAAAGAGTTTTAGCCCTTGGAAAACTCATGATGTGATTAGAGAATCATGAAACAATCAGAGAACACCCCCTCATTTGTGATAATGTATGAATAACTGTCGGGAAAAGAAAATGAAGGAGATGGTCAGGTATGTGGGCTCGATGGGAATGCTGTTTGGTGGTATGGTGGTATGTAGTATATGATGTGCTGAGGAGGCTGTAGGAGGTCATCCCAAAAGGGAGAGAGAAGAGCAGCATTCACCCGACACACCGCCCACAAATATTTATGGAACGTGACTTAGGTTTTAGATTCTGTTCTGGGTGCCCCAGAGATAGTGGCCAACGTGGGAGGCTACAGTCTCGTGGAGAAGACAGAAACTAAACCGGTAAATGTAGGATTCACATGTACCTACAAATTGTAATAACAGAGGAAAAGTACAGGATGCAGTGAGAGAATACAGGGGGAAGCTACTTCCATGCTTCTTGCAGAAGTGACATTTGGGCTTACGCCTGGAGCACAAGGACCAAGGAGGGCTGGAGGAGGGCAAGGTGGGTTTCAGCCAGACTAACCAGTGTGTGCAAAAGTACTGCACAGGGAAAAAGATTGGCTAGTTTGAGAAGCGAAGGAAGGTTGGTGTGGTTGGACACAGGGATTTAGCGGAGAAGAGAAAGGGCTGAGAGCAAAAGCAAAGAAGAGGCACTAGGGAAGGTCTTTGTAGGGACTGGGTGAGGCTGGGGTTCTAGCTTAGCATGGCCTGCCTTGTGTGTAGATAAAATGGGGAAGAAAAGGGGGAGAGAAAAGGAGGTTTGTTGAGACCGACTGTGTGACAAGGACATTATCCTGGTGGTATTTCAGGAAATTGTCAGAAAAATCCTACTAGGCAGATACAGTTATTTCCATTTCAGAAACAGGTAAAGTGAAGCTCAGACAATTTTCTCTAACTTGCCTGTGATCACACAACTTGCAGGTAATGTGGAGGCAAAGGCAGTAACTTATGTAGCATGACTCAGGGCTTCACTGAGAGAATCAATCTTCTCCTGTCTCTGGGTCGCTGTCTGAAGTCCTCAGAGCCACCTACCTTCAGCACAGGGCTCTGATCCCTGCTGAAATGCAAATACTGCAGCAAGATGTGGAGCAGGGTGGCAGAAAGAAACCTGTGTTCAAGTCCCCTATTGAAATTCTCCCCTTAGTGATCTTGCAGTGGCTGTTTAGATTCTCTGAACCTTTTTCCTTCTCTATAAAATGGGGACAATCTCTAACTTCCCCACTCCATAGGGCTATAACGAGAATGAAGTAAGGGTTCTACAAGTGACATCACTACACAAAGGCTTATTAATATGCCAGGCTAACATAAGGGATTATGTGTCATTATATCTTAGTGTAAATGAATTTAATGTGTGCTCACAAACAGTATGAGAGAGTAAAAGCTAGGATGTGGTTGCAGAGGGCCAGCTACAAATGGGAGAGATGGGAAAAGCAAAGGTAAAAATGTGCTTGCCTGTGGCCTCAATGAGGGTCACCGGCCTCATACAGAGGAGCAACTTGGCGGGAGGCTGGGGGTCACCTGGCCTCCTCTGCTACCTAAATGTAGCACCCACGCTCCCCATTCAAAACTATACCGCATGATGCTTAGTCTGCTTGCACCAGCTCCCTGATCCACCTGTCTGTCTGCAGCTACAGCCCAGCCATTCTTCAAGGTCTGGGCCATGTCCCAGTTCCTCTAGGAAGGGCTCTCCAGCTGATGCCCTAGTCCATGGTCCACTCCCTCCTCTCCTGAATTCTTGTTCTTGTAGTTAGAACCGCAGTTAGGAGTCCAGGAGCTCAGAAGTGTTGCATTAGCATTAGCTGCTGCCTCCTGCGTGTTCCATCACACCTCCTAGCAATGGGCTAAGCCCGCTGACTGCCTGAGAAATCCGAGAAGACTAACTGAAAGCCAGTCCGCCTGGAATCTGTCTGCTTTGCTCCACAGGCTGGTGGTCCCCCACGTTGAACTTGCAGAGTCTTTAGAAAACACACACCTGCCCCCTCTACTCAGAGATTCCAACACAACAGGTCTGTATTAATCTTGTGTCTGTATTTTTACAGTGGAGGGAACGACGCACAAAACTCCAAATCGTTTTCTATTATCTTTTTTCTCTTTGGTCACCACGGTCAGTAAACTCTCCTTAATTTCTTCTCTCCTTGTCCTGTCCAGGCACTTAGTGTCTCCCTTGTTTCTTAACATTTGGGTGTCTCTGTGTTCGTTTCCTACGGTCCAGACAGTCTGATTAATCTTCCTAACACAACTTATTTTGTCGGTCATCTGTTTTCAGTTGTTCACTAGATCAAGTCCCATCTCTTCCCCTTGTCAGCCCAGGCCCTTCCTTCTGAGGTCCCAGCTTGGGCAGTTGGCTTCTTCCCTCTTATTACTCACCAACACCAGCCCCATGCCTGTCAGGTCGGCCTCTTCATGGCTCCCCATACCCCTGCGCTCTCATCTCTATGCTCCTGTCAGTTTCCTCACTGGCCTGGGATGCCTTTCCTACGTCTCCTCCCTTAATACTCCCAGATTCCACTGATATCTTCCCGGGGAGGGTGGTCCTGGTGGAGGTGGAATTTGGGTGGAAAAAATCCCAACACTCTTCCCGTTGGTAGGTAGTAATGGGTCAGGTCCCTTGTGTAGTTAATTATGGGACCAAAGGGTCATAGCTGGGTTTAGGGATAAAACTTGGGAGACATTTACCTGCATGGGGTGAGTGAAGCTATGAGGCCATCCCACAGCTGAATTCTGCTTGAGTGAGCAGTCAGGAAAGAGACGAAGAAAGCGACTAAGGATGTGAAGGCTGCTGGGGAAGTAGGCCAAGATTTAGGAGAATATCACGGCAAAGTTCTCCAGTCCTCAACGCACATATCACCTGGTAAACATTAGATGATTAAACCTGACTGAATACGGGGTCATTACGTCTTCTACTGCCACTGGATGTCGCTCAGTCTCGCAGACTCCAATGCTCCACCCACAGACTCTTCCTTTGTGATGAGCCCAGTTATCACCATGAAGGTTTTCCTCTGTGGGATAAGTTGCTGCTGCTGGCCCAGCTTCTTTATGTCTGAGATGACTTAAATACACCCACTGGGGTTTGCTCTCTTTGGGAGTCCTGATTTCTCCAGCCTTTTGTTTGCAGGGCTGGCCTAGCTCATTATATTGCCTCGTCCGCTTATGGAAGATCCATTATGCCCTCCAAAGCATCTTTATGCCCACTGTGACACTGAGGAAAACTAAGACTTTTTAAAATTTATTTGAGACCTCAACTAATATGAACAAGTTGTACAGGGGGAAGTACAAAGACCATTGGATTGGGAGTCAAAGCCCTTGAGTCACATTTTTGTTTAGTTTTGTAACTGAAAGTTTCTGAGTTTTGGTATCCTCACCTCTAAAATGAAGATAATAATGTCTGTCTCACAGGGGTGTTATGACAGGAGCCTTGAGTAAGATACTGTGGGATAGAACTTTACATTTGGGCACTTCACAAAAATGAAGCAGAATTACTATCTTCGGGAGGGTAATACTTTAACAAGAAAAGAATAAAATAAATGCAGTTTTCATTAATAGTGTAACTGGATTGTAAAACACTAAGTCCACTTTTATATGAATAGCTTCCAACGGAAATTCCTGTTAAACATTAAAATGCTAACACACACTATAATTGCTGTTCAAAGCAAGATGGCACAATTACAAACAAACAAAAAGTTGACACTTATCTTAAGTCGAAATCTCCTGGAAGTTTTGAGAAGTGAGGGGGGCCAAGGTTGCAGTTTCTAATGAG